GAAGGAAGGAAGGAAGGAAGGAAGGAAGGAAGGAAGGAAGGAAGGAAGGAAAAAAAAAAAAGAAGAAACCTTTCCAGTTTAATTTAGAGCAGTAAATCTCAACCATGGCAACTTGAAGATGTCCGGACTTCAACTCCCAGAATTCCCCAGCCAGCGAATGCTGGCTGGGGGATTCTGGAAGTTGAAGTCCGGGCATCTTCAAGTTGCCATGGTTGAGATTTAGAGAAAGTCCTATTTCCCAGCAAGCTTCGCTCTCTTTACTTTCGTTTTCGCTTTCATCCTCTGCGCATCAGCTTCTGGTTGAGGCTGACACGCAAATCTAAAACACGCGTTCTTTTCCCCACGTGTGGAAAAAAAAAAGACAGCCTTGGTTTAAGAAGCAGCCGCAAAGCCCTGCGCGGATCCAACTTCCACCCACGCACTGCGATCCAAAGCGCCCCAGGCGGGGAAGGACCGGTTGCACGCGTGTACGCGCGCGTGCGAGTGTGAAATGAAGGGGAAATCTCCGCCTTAACGGTCTGGAGGAAAAGCAGGATAGGAATTACACGCCAGCCAAGGTGGGGAGGGGGAAACACGCATTCCGAGGAAAAAAATACACGCGTCTGTCCTGGGGGGCTTAGAATAACGGGGCTGGGACACCCTCCACGCCGGCCCTTTAAAGCTGCACCAGGAGAGGAGGGGAATCGGTTCACACGTTCGTAGCCAGAGGGATCTTGCGCGTAGATCTTAAGCGGGGATGCAAGTTCTGCTTGGTTTGGAACGTGTGAAGTGGTTCCCTTTCCTAAGAGACCGGCTCACACGTACCTAGCCGAGGCGATCTTGCGTGTAGATCGTGCGGGTGGAGGCAAGATCTCCTTGGCCAGGAACGTGTGAAGCAGCCATCCCCTCCGCCGGGACCAATCTTCCTCACCAAGGGGATCTTGCGTGTAGATCTTCCGCGGGGATGCAAAAGCGTCTCGTTGTAGGAACGTGTGAATGGGTCCTCCACCGCCGGCATCGGTTCACGCGTCCCTTGCTAAAGGGACCTTCCGCGGGGATGCAACATCTCTTCGGCTGAGAACGTGTGAATCCGCCCTTCTCTCCGTCAGGGCCAGTTCACACGTTCTACCCTAGCCAAGGAGATCTTGCGCGGGGATCTCCTCGGCTAGGAACGTCTGAAGCGACTTCTCTCCCCCTCTCACTCCACCGGTACCCTTTCACACGTTCCTCACCAAAGGCATCTTGCGTGTACATCTTCCGCGGGTGTGTGTGTGTGCAAAAATCTCCTTGGCTAGGAACGTGTGAATGGGTCCCCCACCGGCAGGATCGGCTCCCGCGTCCTTTGCTAAAGGGATCTTGCGCGGGGATGCAATATGTCCTGTGGTTTGGAACGTGTGAATTGGTACCCTCTCCTAAGGGACCGGTTCACACCTTCCTAGCTAAGACGANCCTCTGCCAGTGAAAATGGACTCCCGAGCTCCGTTTCAGCTGCGACGGCCTCCTGCAATCCTCTGCCAGTGAAAACAAACCCC